CATGTACGTCTCCGTTCGGGTAAAAATAGTAAACTCCCTAAGGAATGGCTTCAATCCTAAACATACTGTGGCATGCTGTTTAGGGTTGATGCCTTTATAATAATTCCACTTGAGAGGGATTTAGATGTTTCTGCCTAGTTAAAAAACAATAAACCCCCTAGGGAATGGCATCAACCCTAAACACCTTGTCGCACGGTGTTTAGGGTTGATGTCGTTAAAAAAATTCCACCCGAGAGGAAATTAGATGTAGCGATTTCATTCCACTCGTTCCATTTTGTGGACAATGGAAATAGTGCGCATGTGAGTTACGGAGAAGCTGCGTTCTTAGTTGGAAAGCTGAGTCTTCTGCATAAGAAGAGGATCAGCAAAAAATGTGCACAAAAAGCGATGAAGTTCCCTCGGAAGAAGGAAATCTACAGTAAAAAACCTCTCAAAATGGAATACCCCGTAGTCGCTGATGATCGTCGCTGGTATCCCGTGCAAGTGAAAGATGGTGGCGATGAAGAGCCGAGTTGTTTCTTCAACTGAGATTGCTTTCTTGCATGCTGCAAGATGGGCCATTTTCGTTAGCCGATCGACAACCACGAGGATCACGTCGTTCTGACTTGCCTAAGCTAGTAACCCTGTGACGAAGTCTGTCGTCACTTGCTGCCAAGCACGCTCTGGGGGTGGTATCGGCTGCAACTGTCCTGCTGTCCGCTGTCGTGCCGTCTTCATGAGCTGGCAGGTGGGAAACGATGCCACGCGTCATTGTACATCGTTCAGCATCTCGGGCCTGTAATAATACCGCTGCTACCGCTGTCGTATTTGTCGACTCCGAAATGTCCCAAGGTAATCCTGTTGTGTGCCTCCAGTAGTAATAATTCCCCACAGCAGGGAGTAACCTAGTACCCAGATGCGATCGGTGCAGGCTTTTACATAATACACTCCTCGTGCTGTTGCGAATGTCAAACTTATATTTAGCTTACATTGTGTAGGCTTTAGTGGGGTAGCCCATAAGGGGTACAACCCAATTAGGGTTAGTACTTGTACCCAACTCTTTGCTAGTTCATTCATTCTTGTTCGTTAGTTCTTGGCATGGTTTCAGGGCAGGTCCTCCGTTAGGACCGAAGTTTTTTTAGGCCCACCACTGAGTTGCCCCGCTAGCGACCCTCGTGCCGCCCCTGCTACTCCGCGCACCGCCCTCGTGCGGCCTGCACGACAACCTCTAGCCCCCGCCCTCGTGCGGCCTGCACGACAACCTCTAGCCCCCGCCCGTCGCCCGTCGCCCCCTAGGCCCGGCCCGTCGCCCGTCGCTCCTAGGATCCGACCCGTCGCCCCTGGCCCCGCGGCCGGTCGCCCGTCGCCCCCCCTAGGCCCGGCCCGTAGCCCGTCGCCCCTGGCCCCGTGGCCCGTCGCCCCTAACCTAGGCCCGGCCCGTCGACCGTCGCCCGTCGCTCCTAACCTAGGCCCTAGCTCGTCGCTCCTGGCCCCGCGGCCCGTCGCCCCTAGGCCCCGCGGCCCATCGCCCATCGCCCCTAGGCCCTGCGGCCCGTCGCCCCTAGCCCCCCCCGGCCCGTCGCTCCTGGCCCCGCGGCCCGTCGCTCCTGGCCCCTCGGCCCGTCGCTCCTGGCCCCGCGGCCCATCGCTCCTGGCCCCTCGGCCCGTCGCCCCTAGGCCCCCGGCCCATCGCCCCTAGGCCCCGTGGCCCGTCGCCCCTAGGCCCCCAGCCCGTCACTCCCGGCCCTGCGGCCCGTCGCTCCTGGCCCCGCGGCCCGTCGCCCCTAGGCCTGCGGCCCGTCGCCCCTAGGCACCAACCCGTCGCTCCTGGCCCCGTGGCCCGTCGCTCCTGGCCCCGCGGCCTGTCGCCCCTAGGCCCCGCGGCCCGTCACCCCTAGGCTCCGGGCTCGTTGCTCCCGGCCCCGCGGCCCGTCGCTCCACGCCCCACGGCCTGTCGCCCCTAGGCCCCCGGCCCGTCGCCCCTAGGCCCCGTGGCCCGTCGCCCCTAGGCCCCCGACCCGTCACTCCCGACCCTGCGGCCCATCGCTCCTGGCCCCATGGCCCGTCGCCCCTAGGCCCGCGGCCCGTCGCCCCTAGGCCCCGACCCGTCGCTCCTGGCCCCGTGGCCCGTCGCTCCTGGCCCCGTGGCCCGTCGCCCCTAGGCCCTCGGCCCGTCGCCCCTAGGCCCCGACCCGTCGCCCCTAGGCCCCGGCCCGTTGACCTTAGGCCCCGCACGCTGCTTCTTGCGTGCTGCTGCTGCTACTGCTGCCCTGCTTGCTGCCCCTCTCTGCTGCTCCTGCGTGCTACTGCTGCTACTGCTGTTGCTGCCTGCCCTGCTTCTCCCCGCTCTGCGTGCTGCGCCGCTATGGCTTCGCTTCGAGTTCTCGCGTTCGATCATGAGGGCAGACCGATTCAGTTTGACATGTGGCTCGACGACCTGCAGCTGTACCTACTGAGCGATTCTAAGGACAGTGTTTCGCTGTTTGACCTCGCGTCAGGCGCCGCTACCGCCCCTCCCGCCAAAGCTGACAGCGCGACTCGCTCATAGTGGCTTACTCGCAACGCTGCTGCCCGCTTAGCCATTCACAACCACCTGCCGTTAGCCGAATGCGCTCACTTCGGACAGCACAGGACAGCAGAGGCGCTGTACGAAGCTGTAGTCGCTCGCTACTCCTCGCTTGCCACTGCTGCTCTAGGCCGCCTGCTTCTGCCCTACCTGTTCCCCGAGCTGTCCGCCTTTGCCACGGTAGAGGACCTTGTTTCCCACCTCCGCACTAGCGACGCTCGCTACCGCGCTACCGTCCTTGCTGAGTTCCTTGACAGGAAGCAGCCCCCGATGTTCATCACTCTCTACTTTATAGTCACCCGCCTCCCTGACTCTCTTCGCTCTGTCAAGGACCACTTTCTCTCGCTTGACCCCACCTCCCTCACTGTTGACCTACTCGAGGAGCACCTCCTTGCAGCTGAGACTAGTGCATTTGCTGTAGGTGCTGCTCGTGGCACTCCGCGCACGCCCTTCTTTGAAGGGTGCTCCCCCTCCCCCCTTGCCCCCTCCTACGCCTCTGCTGCTGCTGCTGACGTCCCTGGTACTGAGGACGTCGGGGCTGCTTCTGCTAGTGCGAAGCGCCGCAGCGGCAAGGGCAAGGGTGGCAGGGGTGGTGGCGGTGGCAGCGGGGGTGGTGGTGGGGGCAGCAGTGGAGGTGGTGGAGGTAGTGGAGGTGGTGGCAGCGGTGGGAGTGGTGGCGGGAGTGGGGGCTCTGGTGGCGGCGATGGAGGCAGCGGTGGGAGTGGCGGTAGTGGCAGCGGTGGGACTGGTGGCGGTAGGACTGGAGCTGAACGTGGAGGTTCTGGAGGTGGCCAGTGTTGGAATATATATGTGTAACTGCCTGTAGCTGTAGTTTAGTGTAGCTATCATAAACTGTTGGGGGCACACCATTCTTGGCTCTTGCCTATATCCTTGTACTGTTTCTCATTATTGAACACTTCTTCCTTTTCTCGACTTTCCTCCTTGCCTCAACTCCCTCGACATTCAACCCTAGCATGGTTCCTAAGAATACTTCTATGCCTCTTAAGCCTACACCTAGTTTCCTAGGTCCTTCGTATTTTGACATGGTATTAGAGTGGTTACGACCTAATGGGCCCACCGAAATTTAATCCTTGCATGGCGTCCGCCTCGCTGGCGCCCGTCGTTTTTCTGCCCGTCGTACGCCCCGGGCGTGCCTCGGTTTCTGCCCGTCGCACGCCCCGGACGTGCGTCAATTTCTGCCCGTCGCACGCCCCAGGCGTGCGTCGGTTTTCTGCCCGTCGCACGCCTCGGGCGTGTGGCGGTTTCTGCCCGTTGCTTGCCCCCAGCGTGCGACGGTTTTCTGCCCGTCGCGCGGGGGCCCCCGCTGTCCTGCTTCCCGTCGTCCCCGTCGCCCACTTCCTTCTCCCTCTCCTACTCCGCGTGCAGCAGTTTGGGCGGGGGGAAGGGGGGGGGGAGGGTGTTGGGGGGACGCAAGAGTGGTGTTGGGGGGAGGTTGCACCTCCAGCGCTCCGCTGCTCTGCTTCGTCACCAAGTCAGCAGCCCCCCCCCCCCTCCGCCTCTCCTTTCCCGGTGCAGTAGTGGGGGGGAGGGTATGGGGGTGGCGGGTGTGAGTGGTCAGCCGCCCACCCCCTCCTCCTCTCTCTCCCTGCCGCACTTGTTGCTGTGTTGGGAGAGGGGGCGGGGGATCTTGGAGGTTAAGGGGGTGGCAGGAATGGATCTGCAGCACCAGCCCTTCCCCCCCCCCCCCCCCCCCCTTCTCCTCCATCCCCCTGCTACGGTTTCTTCCTGTGCCTTGCAATCGCACGCGCAGCTCATACCCCGCCCCCCCCCCCCCCCCCCCCCCCTCCCCCCTGTCCCCCGCCCCCATGGGGAGGTGGGGAGAGGGTGTGAGGGGGTGGCGGATGTGCCTCAGCAGCAGTAGCTGCCGCCACGCCTCCTCCTCTCTCAATGCTACGCCCGCTGCTGCGGGGAGAAGGTGTGAGGGGGTGGCGGATGTGCCTCAGCAGCAGCAGCTGCTGCCACGCCTCCTCCCCTCTCACGGCTGCGCCTGCTGCTGTGGGGGGAGTGGGGGAGAGGGTGTGAGGGGGTGGCGGATGTTTTTCGTGCGACCTCCGGTTGCCCACGCAGCCCCTGCACCGCTCCCCCGCCCCACCCCCCCCCCCCCTCTTCTCCTCCGTCCCCCTGCTGGTCGTACAGCAGGGGGGGGGAGGGTACGGGGGTGGCGGGGGTGGCGAACGACGGGTTCCTGCCCATCGCGCGCACTGCTGTTGCCCGAGCAGCTTCTTACCCCCCCCCCCCCCCTCCTCCCCCCCCCCCCCCCTCTTTTCTCCTCCATCCCCATGCTGCGCGTGCAGCTGTGGGAGGGAGGGTATGGGGGTGTCGGGTGTGAGTAGTCGGCTGCCCACCACCTCCTCGTGAGTGCCCCTCGCACCCCCTCGTGAGTGCCCCTTGCACCCCCTCGTGGGTGCCCCTTGCACCCTCTCGTGAGTGCCCCTCACACTCCCTCGTGAGTGCCCCTCGCACCTCCTCGTGAGTGCCCCTTGCACCCCCTCGTGAGTGCCCCTCGCACCCCCTCGTGAGTGCCCCTCGCACCCCCTCGTGCCCCTCGCACCCCCTCCTGAGTGCCCCTCGCACCCCCTCGTGGCTGCCCCTCGCACCCCCTCGTGAGTGCCCCTCGCACCCCCTCGTGGGTGCCCCTCGCACCCCCTCCTGAGTGCCCCTCGCACCCCCTCGTGAGTGCCCCTCGCACCCCCTCGTGGGTGCCCCTCGCACCCCCTCGTGGGTGCCCCTCGCACCCCCTCGTGGGTGCCCCTCGCACCCCCTCGTGGGTGCCCCTCGCACCCCCTCGTGGGTGCCCCTCGTACCCCCTCGTGGGTGCCCCTCGCACCCCCTCGTGGGTGCCCCTCGCACCCCCTCGTGAGTGCCCCTTGCACCCCCTCGTAGGTGCCCCTCGCACCCCCTCGTGAGTGCCCCTCGCACCTCCTTGTGAGTGCCCCTCCCACCTCCTCGTGAGTGCCCCTCGCACCCCCTCGTGAGTGCCCCTCCCACCTCCTCGTGAGTGCCCCTCACACCCCCTCGTGAGTGCCCCTCACACCCCCTCGTGAGTGCCCCTCGCACCCCCTCGTGGGTGCCCCTCGCACCCCCTTGTGAGTGCCCCTCGCACCCCCTCGTGGGTGCCCCTCGCACCCCCTCGTGGGTGCCCCTTGCACCCCCTCGTGAGTGCCCCTTGCACCCCCCTCGTGAGTGCCCCTCGCACCCCCTCGTGAGTGCCCCTCGCACCCCCTCTTGGGTGCCCCTCGCACCCCCTCGTGAGTGCCCCTCGCACCCCCTCGTGGGTGCCCCTCGCACCCCCTCCTGAGTGTCAGAACATTATGTTTCTCTAGTCTGCAGTGGGGTACTCTGTAGTGAGTACAACCCTGTTAGGGTTTGTTATATGTATCCAACTGCTTTCTAGTTCAATCATCCTTTCTCACTTCAATTTCTCTCGTCAATATTCTCACATGGTATAGAGCGATTTCGATCAAAGGGCCCATCACTTCAATTTCTCTCGTCAATATTTTTTTTCCTACCCTAGGCGCGCGTCGCGCCTGCCCTTAACGGCCCTTCGCGGCCCCTCGTAAGGTCCTTCGCGGCCCCTCGTTAGGCCCCTTCGCGGCCCCTCGTAAGGCCCTTCGCGGCCCCTCGTTAGGCCCCTTCGCGGCCCCTTCGTAAGGCCCCTCGTAAGACCCCTTCGCGGCCCCCTCGTAAGGCCCCTTTCGCGGCCCCCTCATAAGGCCCCGTAAGGCCCCGTAAGGCCCCGTTTACGGCCCCGTAAGGCCCCTTCGCGGCCCGTTAGGCCCCCTTCACGGCCCGTTAGGCCCGTCGCGGCCCCTTTCGCGGCCCGTTAGGCCCCCGTCGCGGCCCGTTAGGCCCCTTCGCGGCCCGTTAGGCCCGTCGCGGCCCCTTTCGCGGCCCGTTAGGCCTCCGTCGCGGCCCCTTCGCGGCCAGTTAGGCCCCTTCGCGGCCCCAGTTACGACCTGTCGCGGCCCCTTCGAGGTCTGTCCCGGACCTGCCCCGACCCTGTCGCGGCCCCGTCCCGGACTTGCCCCGACCCCGGCCCTGCCCCGACCCTGTCGCGGCCCCTCGTCGCGGCCCACCTTCGCGGCCCCCTGTCGCAGGCCCCCATCGCGGCCCCCCGTATCGGCCCCGTCGCCTGGCGCGACTGCCCCGACCCTGTCGCGGCCCTGTTCCGGCCCCGCCCCGGCCCTTTCCCGGACCTGCCCCTGTTGCGACCCTGCCCCGACCCTGTCGCGGCCCTATCGCGGCTCTGCCCCTGCCATGCCCCGCGCGCGGCCCCCCCCCCCCCGCTCGCCACGCAAGGCGACGGGAGGGGCGACCTGGGGGGGCGCGCGTCGCCCCTTCTTCCGCCTGCTCTGGCACCCTGGGAGGCCGCGCGTCGGCCCCCGTACTCCTCCCCCCCCCCCCCCCCCCTCAGGTCGCCTCAACAGGCGACGGGGGGGGGGCGACCTGGGTGGGGGGGGGGGCCACACGTCGGAGCAGCTGCCCCTGGTGCAGCCGCCCCTGGAGCAGCCGCCCCTGGTGCAGCCACCCCTGGTGCAGCAGCCCCTGGAGCAGCCGCCCCTGGTGCAGCAGCCCCTGGTGCAGCCGCCCCTGGAGCAGCCGCCCCTGGACCCCCCCTCCTCTCCGCCCTTTTCTCCTCCCTCCCCCTGCTGCGGGTGCAGCAGTGGGGGGGAGGGGATCTGCCATCCCCCTGGAGCGGATGCGGCAGTGGGGGGAGGGGACCTACAGCACCTGCCTGCCCCCCCCCCCCCGCCCCCCCCCCCCCCCCCCTCAGGTCGCCTCAACAGGCGACGGGAGGGGCGACCTGGGGGGGGGGGCCACGCGTCGGAGCAGCCGCCCCTGGTGCAGCCGCCCCTGGAGCAGCCGCCCCTGGTGCAGCCGCCCCTGGTGCAGTGTTGACTGGGGGAGCAGCAGAGGGGGGGAGGGGACCTGCAGCACCTGCCCCCCCCCCCCCCCCCCCCCCCCCCCTTTCTCCTACCTCCCCCTGCTGCGGGTACAGCAGTTGGGGGAGGGGATCTGCCATCCCCCTGGTGCGGATGCGGCAGTGGGGGGATGGGACCTGCAGCACCTGCCTGCCCCCCCCGCCCCCCCCCACCCCCCCCCCCCCCCCCCATCTCTCTGCTGCGGGTGCAGCAGTGGGGGAGGGTATGGGGGTGGCGGGTGTGACCAACCCGCCGGCCCTGCTGCGCCCTGCTGCCCTGCTGCCCTGTGCGCCCCGTGCGCCCTGCTGCCCTCTGCAAGCGCCATGCACAGCACCCCCCCCCCCCCCCCCCCCCCCCCCCCCCCTCCTCCTTCTCCTCCATCCCCTGCTGCAGGTGCAGCAGTGGGGGAGGGTATGGGGGTGGCGGGTGTGTGGCATCCCCTGCTCCTCCTCCTACTCCGTCTCCCACTGCTGCAGCTGCCGCTGAGGGGGGTGGGTGTGTGTGAGTCGACGGAGTGGTGCTAGGGGGTGGAGTGTGAGTGAACCTAGGGGTGCAGCAGGGGGTGTGTGAATGGGGGGTGCGGCAGTAGAGGGAGGTTGGGTGGAGGTAGCCGTCGTGTTGCTAGCAGTGCCAGTAGTCCGGAGGTGCGCTTCCGGTAGCCCAGTGATGCCGCTGCGCCAGTCGCCCGTGGGTCCGTTGCTCCTGCCGCTCGTCTTAGCCGCGGAGCCAGTTACCCCTGTAGTCCGGAGGTGCGCCTCCGGTAGCCACAGTGCGCGCCGCTCCTGTTGCCCGTGTGTCTGCAGCTTCCGCCGTTGCCTCCTCTCTCCTCTCCTATTAGTCCAGCCTCCTCCTCCTCACTTGCCCTCTGTGATAGCCCCTAGCTTTGCTTATTTATTGTGAACTCTAAACTGTTACTTCTTGTACTTGTGCTCAGAATGTGTGGTGACATTGTGATCCACCCTGAGCTTGCTTTGCCTTGCTTCTTGTGCTGATCATACCCCACTTTGACTATGGGGGTGTGTCAGAACATTATGTTTCTCTAGTTTGCAGTGGGGTACTCTGTAGTGAGTACAACCCTGTTAGGGTTTGTTATATGTATCCAACTGCTTTCTAGTTCAATCATCCTTTCTCACTTCAATTTCTCTCGTCAATATTCTCACAGTGAGTGCCCCTTGCACCCCCTCGTGAGTGCCCCTTGCACCCCCCTCGTGAGTGCCCCTCGCACCCCCTCGTGAGTGCCCCTCGCACCCCCTCGTGCATGCCCCTTGCACCCCCTCGTGAGTGCCCCTTGCACCCCCCTCGTGAGTGCCCCTCACACCCCCTCGTGAGTGCCCCTCGCACCCCCTCGTGCGTGCCCCTCGCACCCCCTCATGAGTGCCCCTCGCACCCCGTCGTGCGTGCCCCTCGCACCCCCTCGTGAGTGCCCCTCGCACCCCCTCGTGAGTGCCCCATGCCCCAAGGCACCCTGCCATGACTTTCCCCCAGTCTTTGAGGCGTCTCAAAAGGCGGCAGCTGCTGCTGTACTGGCGGATCTGCAGCACCAGCCCCCCCCCCCCGCCCCCGGGTGCAGCAGTGGGGGGGGGGGGGGGGGAGGTATGGGGGTGGCGGGAATGGATCTGCAGCACCAGTCTCCCCCCCCCCTTTTTTTCTCCTCCATCCCCTTGCTGCGGGTGCAGCAGTGGGGGGGGGGGGGCGGGATCTTGGAGGTTAAGGGGGTGGCAGGAAGGGATCTGCAGCACCAGCCCCCCCGTCCCCCCCTTCTCCTCCACCCCCCTGCTGCGCTTGCAGCAGTGGGGGAGGGTATGGGGGTGGCGGGTGTGAGTAGCCAGGAGCCCATCACCTTCTCCTCTCTCTCCCTACTACACCAGTTGTTGTGTTGGGAGAAAGGGGTGGGAGCTTGGAGGTGTGAGGGGGTGGCGAGAGAGATTCTGCCGAGCCAGCAGCCGCCCCTCCTCCACTCTCTCTCACGGCCCCGCATGCCACTGTGGGGGAGGGTGAGGCGGTGGCGGAAGCCAGCCAAACATCTGCAGCTGCCGCCAACTACAACTGTGGTACCTCCAACTGCCGCCTCTGCCTCCACCTGCTGTCACTTCTGCTGTCTGCTGCTGTTGAGCGGCAGGTGCTGCCGTTGAACCCTGCTGTGCCGCCGTACGCAGCCACCGCAAGCACCTGCTCTCCAGGCGACCTGCCGCCACATGCACCTTATTCTTTTGCTTGCTTCTATCTTGGCTGAGGGGTTGTTGCAGCTGAATATGCCACCATTGTACCGGTTGTCACTGCTCTTGCCTACTGCCGCTTTACTCTGCACAAACTCTTGCTGCAAGCAGTTATGGGGGTGTGTTGGAGCATATATGTGTAACTACCTGTAGTTGTAGTTTAGTGTAGTTATCATAAACTGTTGGGGGCGCACCATTCTTGGTTCTTGCCTATATCCTTGTACTGTTTCTCATTATTGAACACTTCTTCCTTTGCTGGACTTTCCTCCTTGCCTCAACTCCCTCGACATTCAACCCTAGCATGGTTCCTAAGAATACTTCTATGCCTCCTAAGACTACACCTAGTTTCCTAGGTCCTTGGTATTTTGACAGCCAGAGGCAGCAGCAGCAGCGTCGTAGCGAGGCCCAGTCGCCCCAGCAGCTTCGTGAGTGGTTGTTTCAGCGTGGGGCGTCTGGGGGTAGTGGTAGCTGCCCGTATGTCATTCGCACGGGTGACCGTGCTAGTCAGACATGCGGGAGGTTTCACACTCAGCACCGCTGCTTCTCCCGCCTCGGCGACGCTTGGCGTGCTGAGTTTGGTAACGAGGTCGAGCGCCCCTGCTGGCTAGAGCTGCTTAGGTCTGGGGTTGCTATCTCTGATATAGACTTTGATGCTATTCTTACTGCTATGTATGCATTGTCTGTTAGTGCTGAGGGTGACTGTTACCAGTGTGTGCCACCTGACCCAGGTACAACGGCCGCTGCTCTAGGTGCTAGTGAGTCTGCTCTCCCTGGTACTGCACCTGCCGAGGCCTTGCACACCTTCACGCCGGACTCAGGTGCCTCACGCAGTTTCTTTCGTGACAGCACCACCCGCACTCCTCTCTCTGCACCTGTGCCGGTCAGACTGGCTGACCCCTCCGGGGGCCCAGTCGTTGCCTATTCCTCCACTGTTCTCCCGTGTCCGGCGGTTCCGTCCGGCTCACTGTCAGGTCTTCACCCCCCCTCGTTCTCTACAAACTTGGTGAGTACAACTGCCCTCCAGAATGCGATGGTCACTACCACCACTCCTGGGGGTCAGCGTGTGTCGATCTGCACGTGTACACGGACGGGCCATAGCCTGGCCACGTTCACTTGTTGGCCAGGGTCGAGTCTGTACACACTGGCTATCGAGTCTCCTCAGGTAGCTGCGTCTGCCCAGGTGTCCGCGTCAGGTCAGGTAGCACCCCCTTGCTCGTGTCGCCTCCTATCGCACCAGACTCTTCTCTGGCACCATCGCCTTGGTCACCCCTCCCTGCCACGCCTGCGTGGCATGCACTCCTGTCTCCTTGTCTCTGGTCTTCCCAGGTCTCTGCCTCCCCTCCCGCCCTCGCCTGCTCCGCCCTGCCTTCCTTGCGTCGAGGGGCGGCAGTGCGCCGCTCCTCACTCCTCCTTGTTTCCCCCGACGACTGCTCCCCTGCAGACTCTCCACATGGACGTGTGGGGCCCAGCCCGCGTCAGTGGACAGGGCCGCGAGCGCTACTTTCTGCTGGTTGTTGACGACAACACGCGTTACACCACGGTCTTCCCCTTGCGCAGCAATGGTGAGGTCCCTGACGTTTTGATCCCTTGGATCCGCGCTGTCCGTCTCCAGCTCCGCGAGCGCTTCGGCTAGGACCTTCCTGTACTTCTTCTGCACTCTGACAGAGGTGGTGAGTTCTCTTCCGACCTCTTGCGGGATTTTTGTTGTGTAGAGGGCATCACCCACTCATTCTTGCTTCCGGCCTCTTTGCGGCAGAATGGGATTGATGAGCGTCACATTGGCTTAGTCATGGAGGTCGCTCATACCTCCATGATCCATGCGGCTGCTCCCCATTTTCTGTGGCCGTTTGCGGTCCGGTACGCTGCGCATCAGCTCAACCTCTGGCCCGGTGTCTCCTTGCCGGAGACCTCGCCCACACTGCGTTGGACGGGGGAGGTTGGCGATGCGTCGGTGTTCCGGGTCTGGGGTTCTCGCGCCTTTGTTCGCGATTCGTCCGCGGACAAGCTTACCGCCCGGGCTATCCCTTGCGTCTTCCTTGGCTTCCCCCCTGACGCGCCTGGCTGGCAGTTTTACCACCCCACCTTGCGCCATGTCTTCCTCTCTCAGGGTGCGGAGTCTGGGGGTGCTGAACCTCGGGGTGCTGCTTTGTCTGGAGGTCCTGCTGGTGCTTCGCCGAGAGTGTCTCCCCGACCGAAGCCTCTCTCCCCGCAGCAGCTGCGCGAGTGGCTTGTTCGGCGCGCACGCCTTCGGAGTGGAGCTGCCGGAGCTGGAGCCACTGGAGGCAGTGGAGCTGGAGGTGCTAGAGTTACTGCTGGAGCTAGTGGTTCTTGAGGTACTGCGGCTGCTGGTCCTCGAGGTGCTCGTACCAGGGGTACTGGAGCTGTTGGGACTGGTGGTGTTGGGGGCGCTGGAGCTGGAGACCCTACGGAGCCTGGTGTTACTGGAGCTGGAAACACTGGCGCTGGTGACGCTGGCGCTGGAGGAGCTGGAGCTGAAGGCACTGGCGCTGGTGACGCTGGAGCGGGTGGAGCTGGAGCTGGAGGCACTGGCGCTGGTGGCGCTGGAGCTGGAGGAGCTGGGGCCGGAGGCACTGGCGCAGGAGGCGCTAGAGCTGGAGGTGCTGGAGCTGGGGGTATTGGTGGTGCTGGTGCTGGAGGCACTGTGTGGCCGCGACCGTACTTTGTTCCCCTACTTCAGCAGGTTCTTGGTGTCCCGTCTTCTACTGGCCTTACTCCTCCCCTTCTGTGTCCCACGCCTAACCAGTCGCAGCCGCCGTTACAGCCAGCCTCCCCACTGCCTGCTCCTTCTCCTTACACTGAGCAGTCCGGTGATCTTACAGAGCGTTGTGAGCCTGCGTCTCGTCCTGTCTTGCCTGTTCGCATTG